ACAAAATCAATTAATGACTCTATTACAGTCAAAAATAATAAAATCACCTTAATTAAATGAAAACCTAAACTATTAATTTAAACAGCACATAATTAGCATCAATTCGACAGTCTAGGAAGTAAAAAAGCCTCACAATAAATTTACATTAATCTCAGGCATGTTAAATTACACGCTGTCAAGCCGAACATGGAAAATTTAAAAATTATTTCTTCAAATCCAAAAAATCAACCGCGTGTCTTCATCAATTTAAAAGCACATTTTTCTCATCAACCTGACTAGCCATTGAATCAATAGAATAAATTAAACATACGTGCAAATTTTAGAATTTTTAAAGCAGTAACTTCTCAAGTAAAAATTCTTAAATATCGCGAGAGTTAAAAAAATTTTCAAGGTTATTCAAACAGATTTCGATCAAAAATTCAATAAGCTTGAAGTATAATGAGCATGAAGAATTCCAACACAAAAGACACAAATACCATGAAAAATATGAAAAACTTGAACAATCAGCTGGTCTGTCTGTAACTCAATGAACTTTTAGAGAAATCTCATAATTATATAATCCATATTTTATGGCTGGTTTGACCACGTGTGATGTCTGAGATTTCAATCCACTTCTGGTTTCTTTGTCGCAACTCTTAAAATCTTTCCAAATCTAGAACTTTAAATATTAGTATGGATTATTATGCAAATATTGAACATCAACTCTGCTCATTGCCAAATTTTTTAAACATTTTTTTTTCTGCTTTGTAAAGACCGAAACAAAAAGTTTTTATAGCTGAAGGAAACGCATGATCAGTTACCAAGGTGAAGTCTAAACTAGACGAAGGTTCAATGAACGCTTTAGACGATACAAATTCAATTCCTTATCATTTTTTTATTGCTTTGCGAAATGGAAATTAAATTGCATGAAAAAAAAATCAATTTTTTGGTTTTGGTGATAAGCTTTGGTTGACTTTAATGGGTTTTTGGAATTGATGACTGAATATTTTAAAATTTTATAGGTCGACTACTGAGGAATGAAATGGAGTTATTGAAGATTTAGAGGAAGTTGATGCAGATTTGGGCAGATTTGTTAAGATTGTTGCTTTAATGGTTTTATAAAGAAGTTTTGGATAGTTTGCAAGAAGAATTTAAACATTTGGTAAACTAGAATTTACTAGTTTATATCAGAATTAGGATTCGGGTTTTAATCTGCTGACTTATTTGTATTCAAAAAAATCTGCATTGACAGCTCAAAAACATCACTTTAAAATACATTGGCTTTAAAAATCTCAAGGACAATCTTTAAATGACACAAAAACTTAGTTCAAGCTTCTAATATTTCAAGTAAACGAATTTGCAAGCATTAAACTGGCATTGAATTTCTTTTTCATTTTCAGCCTTTTTTCTTATCTGTTCGCAAACATACATATTTGCAAAAAAAAATATGGGATGTTCATAAGTTAGGTAAAAGACGATAGGAGGAGTATTTTAGGTTAAGGTAAAAAGCTTTTGTTTCTAATTTTGGAGTTTAAAAGGACCTGCCTTCCTCCCCCCCACTCCCTCCAATTTCGCACAAAAAAGTTAAATAATTAATTGCCGTCACTGTGTAATCCCCCCATATGAAGTACATCTACAAAAATTCCAAGAGACCTGAATGAATTCGAATTCTCTTATCAGCGATATTTATTCTAAGAGCAGAGCTTCTCATTTCGATAGATGTGCGCATTTTCATAAGAAAATTATAATTGCTCGAAAAAACAAATTCCCCAACAGATTAATTCACATTTAAAATGACACATTTGACTTATTGATTGGAAAATTTTGTAGTATCAGAAACTCACAAGTCACCCGCAACGTGATCTATTGAAAAAACATTAAAATTTAAAATTTAAATAAGATTCTACCCAAGATCCGTTACTTGAATAAGATAAAAAAAAATCATTTCTTCTGCGTAAAATAAAATAATTTTACTTTCAAAACACAATCATCCGATCGGATTGTTTATAATGAATACAGACTCAAAAAAAAAATGAAAATGAAAATTTGTAATACATGCACAAATTGTTGTCTGTGTATTTTGAACTTGATGTGTGTTGAGAAAAAAAAAACCGGTTGAATAAACTCAAATTTAATTTCAACTAATTTAGTTGTGCCATAATCTTTAAGCATTGAATATTTCCAGACCCCGAGTAATACAGAAGCTGTGTGACTTGTGGAGATATTTTTTTCTCGAATGATCTAATGCGTTGGATTTATGATTTAGCTGTTTGGATGACTATGGCTAAGATATAAACAAATTAATAGATAATTTGTCAAACTTTTTATTTTTTTTTCTTGGAAATAAAATTTTATTTGAGTGAAAGTTCCGCTTAAGATTAGGATTTGAAGTAGTAAGGTGTGTTTTGGGTTTGAGGTTAAGTGACAAACTCAACTGACAAACTCCTTCAATTTGCTAAGGTATGTTCGAAAACAAGTCTCAGATTCTTCCTCGAATGCCAGTTTCAAGGTCTACTAGAGGCAAGCTACATTTGAATCATAAATTGATGCACAATTCTTTGAGGTCAAAATAAAATTTATTATATTTCAGGTCCTTCTAGAAACCAGCCCTAGATACGAGTACGTCTAAAGATCTGACGTACCCTTCAAAGGAGACACGTTATGTGCCAAAGACCTCAAAACAACACCCAACACACGACCACCAGCTTCTTAAACATGGCTTGGCCTGGGATTGAACCCCGAACAAAATTGAAGGCTTACCTAGCTTCAACTTCTCAAAAATTAACATGGGGCCGTTCAATTATGACGTTCTAAATTAACGGTTATTTTTCAAAAAAGAACAATGGATTTCCTGGAATTTCTGTTGTACTTTTCTTGCTGACCCCCCCCCCCCCCCCCTGGACTTCATAAGTGAACGGTCCCCATCTACTTCTCGGTCTTATTCTTTTCCATACATAAATTATGAAACAACGCTAATTAATAGTTTACAATTTCAAATTAATGTTCCTAAACCTCACTTCTTTTTCTATTGTTCATTACCACACTGGCAGTTCCAGTTAAATCTAAAAGATCTCATTACAATGAAGTCTTAAGTATATAGAATTATTCTAAATATATTTTATCATTTAATGGCTTTAACACACAAGCATTATGTAATTAGCAGCGATTCAGGAGATATAAGAAGAATTGAGAGTTCCACGTTTTGGAATCGATGATGAAAGTTTTGAGATAAATTGTGAAATGGCTTATTTTAAGATATCCAAGAAAAAGACTGAAAATGAGGGTTTTTAGACTTATTTTTAACTTTTTCATGAAGGTGGATCCAAATTGAAGAACTTCCATAACTTTTTCCATTGATGGAATGTTTAATGTATGTTTGTTCTTGATTTAGCAACAGCGTCAATAAGATACCACTAGAAAAAGTCTAGTCTAGAGATAAACAACAATTTAAAACTTCAAAACTTATTATCTTCGGTATTTTTGGAATTCCAACAAATTTGCCTCTAGTCTGTCTCATAATAAGCTTAAAATATGAATCCACAATCCAGTCTGTATCATTTAACAGAAAAAAATAATTTCACGCCTGTTTTTTTTATCTCATAAAGTACTAATTCCAAGAAAATTAGATTAATGGCATAGAAGAAATAATAAACTCACGACCTACATCAATGCCTTGAAACGATTATGCGAAATGAAATGTATGAAACAATTTTTTTATTACACAATAAAAATTGATTTGGAATTATTGAAATGGTAATTTTGAAGGTTTGATGACGAAGCTTTTGGATTGATTGATGGAGTGAGATTTTGGTAATCTTTGAGTATTTTTAAATTAAGATCGAGACAATTATTTATTGTATATTAAAGGTTGTGCAGCTCCAAATCTTAGACAGTTAAGACTATGAATAAATTTTCTTTCTTGTGTTTCAGTGTCTGATGATTGCAATTGAATATGCTACAGATATGTCAATTTTTAACTTAGGAAACTCTCAGACAACCCTTCTGGGTTACTTCATATTTCCCTTTAAAGATCCCTAGCACTTACCTAACCTAATCTAACCTAATCTAACCTTACTTAAGCCCTCTACGGTGAATTTATAGCTCTCGTATCTTTTTCATTCTAACAACATTATTCAGGACCCATTCTTACATCTCATGTTCCCTAAACTTCCGGAAAATCACTAGGCTGATGGTGGGATTTGAGTACGAGAGTCTAAATGTAACACCAGGTTTTGTTACCTGTACCTTGCCAAGTGAGCTACCAAGACACTTTTGCTTCCTTCTTTAGTATACTCTAGGATATATAATTGGGGAAAAAAGAGGTGTAGACTCCTGAGGTAGGTGAAGATCTGCACCGAAAACACTTGCCTTAGATCAATAATTAAATAAAATAGCATAGATCATACCAAAACATACAATATACGCCGTGAAAACGTACTGCAGACTATATATGATTCAATAACAACAACAACCATACCTAGACACACCACAACAAAATGAATAATACCCAGCATGTTTCAACAAAATTTCCAACAATAAAACTCATGACTTTTCGGATCAATGACGACATTTAACCCAAGCATAACATGGATATTTAAAGATGGTACTGGTTTCAAAAATGAAACTGGAAGTGAATTTTCAATAACGTTTGTAAAACGCGTTTTTAAGGCTAAATGGCTACAACACCATACTATTTAAGATCTCATTAAAAAAGCTGTGAAAGAAATCCACAGTTTTAAATATTTAGGTTAGAGCAGTGTTACCCAAACTGTGTGCCGCAGGACACTGGTGTGCTGTAGAATTATTTTGGAAAAATATGTTGTGCGCGATTTCGGTTATAAGGTGTGCCGTAGCTCAAAAAGTTTGGACAACACTGGTTTAGAGACTTAGTGAAAGTAAAATATCCTTCAATAATTTTTATAGATAATCAAGATTCAATTAGTTGACATGTGTGGCTTTAATCCTATCCAGCCGCACCTCAAAATGCTCATAAAAATGTCTCTTATTATTCAAAAACTCACCTTCCATCCAGCACTGCTGTTGGAATCACCTTTGTCTTTAAAATATGGAACATTCTGCACCATCCACTCATAAATTTGACTTAATGTTAATCTATTGTCTGTCGATGAACTAATTGCTTTTGTTATAAGATCTGCATACGACAAATTTCCCCATGCATTGCGTCTCGATGAATTTTTCTTTGACGCTGATGATGGTGTAGGTGGAATTCCTGTAAATAAAAAATCAGTAAAATAAAAAAATTAAAACTTTTTGTGCAAAGAAGACATTCCAGACAATTTTTTGGACATTGAGAAGATGAGAATGAATAATTGCTCTCTCACTAAGAAGCTTCATCTTCGCTTTTGTGTTTGCTTGAAAGTCAAAATGATATTCGTCATGAAGCGAATGACCTTGATGTATGTTAACTATATTTATAAATGAATATTGTATCTATAAAAAAAAGTCGTATATTAATTAAATTTTTTTAGTGGTGCCCGTTGACTCTAAGACAAGAAACTCGATTTTTTTGACAACTTTTAAGAATTTTTGCTTGAATTTTTAAATAATTTTTTTATATTTCTTTCAATGCTAATTAATTAAGAAAAAAGAGGAAGGAACTGTAAGAGTTAAGAGAGATTTATGGATAGCCGAATGGACATTAATTAAGGAGACGAAATTGAGAGAGTGGAAATTTCTTCAGAATGAGAATTGAACCTTGTCAATTTATTGAATTTCTTTGTTCTTGATTAAATGTCATAGATTCGTCTTGAGGAAAGGTTTTAAAATTTATAAGTTTCACAGTTCCATTAAAGCTGATACGCTCAATTCATATTCGACAGACTTATCGAAAGTCTAAGGGTGTTTTAATATGCACGTTCGAAAAATTTAAATTTGAAAAACCGTTACAATTTTTGGTCAAAAATTGCTTAATTTAAGTTTTTATTTTTTCCTAATTTTCGAAAATTTCGAACTGCAAGGTATGAAACTTTGAATTTTCCATGGCAGACAGACAAATAAGAAATTTTTACAAGTGTTCTTGGAACCTGTAACGGTCAAAACTCTTGAATTGTTCGTATCAGCATTAAAGGAGTTTTAAATCAGCTGTCAAAATGGTTTAACCAGAGGGGAAGAGCTCTACTTTTTGAAAAAAATATCTTCAATTTGCAAATGTTTTTTTTTTTGATAAAATAAATTATGAAACCTTTTCTGACTACGCCTCTAACTGTTTGTGACTTCATACTATGTTTTACAATAAGACTTAACAGTAAAGGACGTGAAAGTGATGCATTTTAATCTAAAGCCGGTTTCTTAAAGCAATCTATTTAAAAATTTAAAAATAGTCAGAAATCTATGAAATTTTTCATTTATACTTGATTAAATGAAAAACAGTTGAAAGATTTTGATTATTCGTATCCATCCACTCAATATATTAGAACCTTTAGTGTATTTCAACTTGAATTGCTGAATTCATAGTAGCTTTTGTCACCTTAGAAGTCTCTAGAGTCATTTTGTTAAAAGTAATGTTTACCTCCAGTTTACCTATACATAGATTAGTCTGCCGGGATCAATGGCAATTTTGAATGTATTCTTAAAACCTGATTGAGTTTATTAAATGTAGAACTAATCAATATGTTCAGTAAAGACGTAATTAAAAAAGAAATTTCTTAAAACGTAATTTTATTGTTACTTTGATTTTTTTAAAAGAATTGAATATTTTGAACAAAATTTTTTGTTCTTTTTATAAAAAATTTCACTACTTTAGCTCAATTCCTCAACCATCTTTATATAATTCCATCCCACACATGCAATTCCAAATCCATCATTTGTATAAAATTAATTAAATCCTAATACATCTCTTAATAAATTAAAAATCATTTCTAATTACTAACATAAATGAATAATAATTCAACCAAAAAATCGTATCTAATTAAGTTAAAAACAAAAATCTTGCTCATTTTCGAGAATTAAAGGAAAAGCTGTGTTTTAAAATTAGTTCTGATATCATGAAAAGAATGTGGATGTTGAAAATAATAAAAAAATACGGAATAAAAGCCTCACAAACACACATGAAGCGTAGAATTTATGTGATAGCTACGCGTTTTGTGACCTTACGCAATATTAAGATTGTTGGCGATTTATTTTATTTTTATTTTTGATTCGTATATGTTTTTTTATTAGAATTTTTGAGTTTATTAGCATCAATATAAATTATCATGGCATTTATAATAGCTTGAATTTAATTTCTTGAAATATGATTAAGCCAGTCAGGATAGAAAAATGGCAAAAATCACAACAAAAACTGGAATTTTTTTTCATGAAGTTCAAGGAAATATTAGATGATTAAACTTGATTAAAATAATCAAAACGGAATGTTTTTGTAGACAAAATTCTTGTTAGAATATGCTGTATGATAGATCTTTTGTTTTGCAATATTATGATGCCTGTGGATTTGTTTTGCGGAGATGATTTTGATGAGAATTAATTTTATTTGATATTGGACATAAATTTTCATCAAAAAGTAGGTCTAGGAAAAACGTTCTTACTTATATTCAGATGTGATTTGGAATGTGTCGTGGTAGGAACTGCTTAAAACATCACTTTAGGTTGAAATATCGAATTCAAAATTCATAAATTAAATCCCTGATGTTTTACACCAAATTGTAAGTTCTTGAACATTAATTTTTATAAAATACAAGATTTCCTTTACATTCAGGAACTTCAACTCCATTCTTATCATTCTGCCTCCTACTACGCTCTAGGATAAAACAAATATTGTGTAAATTCAAGCCGACTAGATTCGACGTTTCAAAGGCCATGAACCTAGAATTATTGTATGCAAAATTCGATAAAAACCCGAGTTAACTTCAAGCCCAGCCCTTCTCTGTTTCATATCAAATTTATTCATTCAATCCACTACAATTTAATTTATTAATCACAATATTGCAAAAAACAATATACTGGGGGTCCTCGATTTGAGTAGATTCTATTTGAGTAGATTCGATTTACCCACCAAAATATTCGATTTGAGTAGATTTCTTCCTGTTTTCTTCGATTTGAATTGTTTACAAAACAAATATTTTTGATAAAAACATTTCAGAAAATAATTTTAAAACATAAATTTTACTGCGATAAGCGTGAACTTATCATATTGATAGAAAAATCAATACTAAAGTTACAAAATTAAAGTAAAAATTTAAAAAATCGATATAAAATCAACGATTTTAAAAAGTTTAAATTCAAAAACCTTACAAATTGTTCAGTGAAATAACATTTGCAAGGTTCTCATATTTTTGTTTTGTTTCAAAAACATTTTTTTTGTGAATTTCCGTTTAAAAACAATATGAATATGCGTTGAAATAAATTAAGTTATCTAAAACACAAAGGAAAAGTTAAGAAACGAGGTAAAATGTGCAAAAAATGATCAAAATTTTCATTGTTTTGATTCATTTTTTGGACTCTGGAACAAAACATGTAATTTTGTATGGATTCTTTGCCTCGATTTGAATAGATTCGATTTGAGTAGAAATTTTTTGGAACAAAACAACTACTCAAATCGAGGACCCCCAGTATTGAATTAACATTAACAAATTTATTCATATCAATTAAAATGTAGTTCATGAGTATTTCCGGCATTTTATTTTACCATATTTTACATATGTAAGGCTCTACAATTTATCACAGCTTATGTAATTTTATAGAATTAAATAATTTTTATTTTTCACACTTGTATGAAAATAAACTAAGATTGTCCAAAAATAGATTTCTTTATTTGTTGTTCAAAATTCTTTTGTATGATATAATATTTACTATCATTATCTCGGTGCTAATTGTTACAAATTTGGAAATGAGTTGCTGTATTTTTGGGGAATTTTGGTTGTTTGTTTGAGAAGGGATCAAAGAAATTTAAGTTCTACTTTATGAATAAGTAAAAATGAAAGAGTTTTCTGGAGTTGTTGAGTTTAAAGACCTTAGCAGTTTTGAAAATTCTGCTATCTGAGTAGACCTTCTCAATTTTTTGCATGTTTAAATCGAACTTCAGAAGCCCGAATCGCAAAAGTCGGATAATCTAATAGAAATCCGGTACCAATCCGGTATGACTCTGGCATGGTGCTAGACTTAAATCGAATCCAGAGTTGCACCAGCTTTGTGCTGGATTTCTATTCGATAAATCGATTTGTGTGAATCCTATATGGGGAAGAGAATTTAAAACTTTTTTCCACACAAATTTTAATCTTTGGAAGTTTTTCTTGGAATCTTACCCACGTCTATGATTAATAAACGACTTGCAAACGACTCCAAAGTCAGACCTTCAATTTCTATCAAACCTGAATTAATTATAATCCCCAACGAAATTTCATCACATGTAATAATAATTGTATCAAAACAAGATTAAATTGTTGCAAATAATTCATGTTTTGTATTATTGAAAAAATTCCGCAGTTGCTTAATCTCCTTACAATATTATAAACAAATCACTCAATTTTTTTTTTCCTTGCAAAATTTCTTGCAGTATTTCTGGCTTTAATTTAATTCTAAGAATGTTGAGATTTCAATCATTAGCTGCACACTTAGTCAAATGTGCTTATAAAAAAAATCGTGCAGCATTTTTCATATTGACTGATTCATTTAGTTCTCACAAAGCTTTCAATTAATTATGCAAAATTTCAAATTATCATATTACTGTATTAAACGAATTGTGTGTCGATTAAGCTTTTTAATCAGCTACATCAATTTAATTAATTTAATCTCTCATTATATGGCACACGTGGAGTTGATGTTATCATTTTCATAATCACAATAATTTTTAAATTACATCACTTTTTTTTTGATTAAATTTTCAATCTTTATCAATGCAGAGAGTGCACAATTGATAAGAAAACAAGGTTAAAGTTGCTTATCATTGAGATGGAAAATTTATGTGATTAAGTTGATGTAAATTTGATGCAGAAATTTACATTGAGATTGACTTGAATTGGTAATGAAGGAATTTGAGTCAAATTTGAGTGAATTTGCGTCGTAAGATTTAAATTTTAATTCAAAAGATATCAAGTTAATGTGAAAATTGAGATGATTTGTGGAAATTTTGAGGTTTTAAAAACTTAATAATTTTAAAATCATCACAATTCAACATTATATGGTTCAGGGTCGCTCAATTATGATGTGCGAAATTAACGGTTATTTTTCAAAAAAGAAAAGTGGATTTCCAGGAACTTCTGTTGTACTTTTTTT